AAAACTGGGTTATAAATTAACACTCTTGCCTTTTTCTCTCTCCCTCTTTTTTTTTGAAAACCTGATTTTATAACTTTTCTTAGCAGCATAGTAGCTGCCACAGTCGTTCTTGTTTCCCACTGTCTGCTGCTAACAGCATCACTCTGAAGCTCCAAGCAGGAATGAACCATTTAACGCAGATTGGGGGGTTCAGGGCAAATATGGATGTGTGTTTTTTGGTCTGGGAGTGGGAACATTACATTTTTACTGCTAAAAACAATCTTTGAAAATACAATGTGATTAATTTTGTAATTGACAGGACCCCGATTTTTTTATTTATTTCTATGAACAAAAAATAAATAATTAAACTGTGGAGGGCCCCCTGCTGGTCAGGGCCCCTAGAATTGTCATCACTTTCCCCCCCTATGACGCGCCTCTGCTCAAAGGTCACATGACCTGATTTAACTTTCATGTAAAATAATTCAAAACCATCTGGAAGGAAGTCCAGCAGCTGAAGCTTGGTTCAACCAGGTCATGAACAGAACCAGGATCCAGACACCGCAGCAGATCTAAAACCAACCAGCTTAGTCAAAGTCCAGGCCTCAGCCTGAAATGCTATGGTGGGATCACCAGGCCAAACTTCCTCCACAACAATATGGGTGTTACTGCTGCTCAAAGTGGGTGCACAAACTTATGGGCTGTACATAGTTTTTAAGTGTTAAATAAATGATGTAATGTTGGTGTGATGCAGTTCCTGGTGTTCACCTGAGAGTCGCAGCACAGCGGAGAGGATGAGGAGGACGCCTTCATCATCATCAGCTCCATGCCTCGCTCCACGATGTTCTGGATCTGCAGGTAGCCGGCGGTGTACATGAGCACCAGCTGCTCGCTGGCGGCCATGCTGAGCCGTCCGGTGTAGCAGAACGACAGGATCTGCTGGAAACACGCCGGCGTCACCGACGACGGAAGCTCAAAGACGGCCTGGGAGGAGGATAGTGAGGAAGAGGAGGAGGAGGGGTCCGCCACAGAGCTGAAGAGGTCTCTGAAGTAGAGTGAGGAGGCCGCCAGGACGGCCCGGTGTGCCTTAAAGGCCTGTCCCTGGACCAGGATGGAGACGTCGCAGTAGTGGCCCAGCAGCCGCTGTTCGTTCAGGCTGCCCAACACGTTACTGCCGAAGTCCGGGATCTCTACCTGCAGCAGCCCCTCCGCCATGATGGATGCAGCGCTCTGCAGGACAGGAAACTGGAACAGGGGTCAACACCGGGTGCGGTTAAGTGTCGGGAATGCTGCGCAAGAGTCCTGACAAAGGTTTCACATCCATGAGGTCAGAGCCGAGGGAGGTTCAGGTGGTTCAGGAGCCAAGGGAGGTTCAGGTGGTTCAGGAGCAAAGGGAGGTTCAGGTGGTTCAGGAGCCAAGGGAGGTTCAGGTGGTTCAGGAGCTGGCAGCAGGTCTGGCGGAATGCAAGAGGATCCTATGAAGAACTGTACACAAGCTGAAAGACAGAAGAAGAGAACCAGCTATCACCTCTGCTTCCTTCACTAGTGAATAAATGAAACCAGCAGACTCTGCCGTCAGGCACTAAAAGTTACAATAAAACACATGGAGCCACCATAATCATTTCTGATATTCCTGGTATATTGATGATTCATCATGGATGATGGGAAACCTGATCCTCTGGGTCCTCAGGAGCAACAGCACTCTAAAAGCTGGTGTGAGCACACATTGGTTACTGTCCTCTGGCCTCCAGATCCACCTCCTAATGCCTGGCTCACATGGCGAGACCTTAAACACCTGAGAGACCCCGCACCTGGAGATAAAAGCTCTGAGCTACAACAAGTTTGGTTGCACAGTGTGGTATGGAGGCACACTGCAGGAGTAACACATGAACCCATTTCACTCACCAGCATCCAGGAAATCTCTCACGATCTCTTGAGACCATCGTGAGCTCAGAGTAAACAAACATGGAAGCAATGGCAGTAGTTGGTCAACTATGTTAAACAGAGACAAAGTAAAAAGTTGTCTCCGAGATCCACCAGACTTCCTGGTATGACGTGGTTGTTGTTTTGTTTTCTGTGTGTTGGATTCCCCACAGTGTTCCTGTTGCTTTCTGATTGCCCACATCACATTCATCAGGCTAAGACAAGCCAACATGTTGACTATCCTTGATTTTAGATTGGTGCAGTCCGAGGTCCTTCCTAGCAGACTCTGAACACATGACAGGAAGACCTCCTGAGATTATCTCTAATGACCTTTAAGATCATCGGAAGGGAAAAATCGGGACAAAAATCATAGAAACCTTGCTGCGTGGCCCAGGCATTAACTCAACACACATTTTCTGGTGATCCCATCTTGTGTGTTCTAGAAATGTTTAGGGTTGTCTGAACTGGATCTCTGGTTCTTCAGGACCGACATTGTAGAAGCTGTTCTCCCAGTTCTGGAGTCACCTCACCAAACTGGGACCACTGGGAAATTTCTATAACTCCTCAGCTTTGAGATTTGAAGTCTCAAAAATCTTGGGATCAGAATGTCTCTGACTTCTCCCTTCATCTACATCGCCTCAATGTCCAATTGGTTGGTTAGCCGTCTGTCAGGGTCTGGAAGGCTAACTGGACATTAGCTTTGTCCTTCTCCATCTCGGTGGTGTCTCCACTCTGACCAGGGCACCTCCTGTAGACCACCTGGTTGAGGTGTTCCTTGTAGGCACCACCTGGCACCCAGATGGTAGGTGTCAGACTATTTCAAGGGGCGTCTTTGCTCTGCAGCCTCTGGTATGGTAGAACTGGCCTCTATTCCTCTCTCTTCTTCTGCTGCCCTGTTCTTCTGTGCTTCTCTTCCATTTACTGGGCATTAGTCATTTCCTATATCTGTCCTTGGATGGTCTATGCCATCCAAGGACTCATCCTTCCACAATGTTTCTCCAAGTCAGGGTTGCTTAATGCCTAGTTCACACAAGATCCTGTCTGAAATTGGAGCTGCCGTGTAGCTCCACACCACAAACTGTATGAACAAACCTACAGCCAACATGTTTAATTGTCATGTATCAGGGAGTCTCTAAGGTTTTTAAAAATCGGCAACAATTGTAAAATCTTGTTGTGTGTAGCAGGTGATTGAGAGTCAGGTAGTAGGTTCCTTCTTGGTGGATCTTTAAACCCCTCAGCTGGATCTTCACAAGAGAAGATCTAAGTGACTACAGAAACTGCAGTCACAGATGTTAGAGTGGTGCAGTTCAAGTTGTATGCTCACTGATCCTCCTCTGTTATCCAAGAAAGGATGATTGAACCTCCAGAGGGAAACACAGCAGACCTTTCAGACAGCTACAAGAACCCTGGGATCCCCAAGGAAACTCCAACCTTGATGAGGCCACAAGGTAGTCTGCCTTGTCTGCCTCTGGTGAGAAAAACAAGGGAATGGGACGCAACAAGTCCAGGCCAGTACCACACCTTACCAGTCATCAGTTACCCTGCTGGCAGAATGACTGCAAGCCACTGATATCAAAACTTGGAAGCATCATGCAACAGCTGGAGCATTCCAGTCCAACATCCTGACAGTACGCCAAGAGTAAGGAGGGAGGTCAAACACCAGAGATCCTGGAGTACAGCAGGAAGTGCAGGAGAAGGACCAGGAGGAACCCTCATAGAGAAACAAAGAAACAAGCTGCATGACACGGAGTCACTGATATCAAGAAGACCTGCCAGAAACCAGGCTGGTCTGGACTGAAGGACAATGCAGAGGCACTGGTCATAGCAGCAGCAGGACAGGTAGAGGCCAGGTTCTACCTGAAGAGACAGAAACCAGAGGCTGCTAAGCAAAGACACCCTGAAACAGCCCAACTTCTACCAGCTGGTGGTTTACGGCGACACCTCCTGGATAAAGCTAAGGTCCTCTGGGACTTCCAGACCCAGACCCATAAACAGATTATGTCCAACCAGCTGGACCTAATAGTGATGGACATTGTGAGAACATCAGGAAGGAGGAGGAACTGGTTGGTTCAGAGAGACCCTGAATCCGGACACTCCCAGGTGGAGACATACTTCTGAATGTACTTCAGTCATGAGTTCTGAAATACCAACTTTGCAGTGATTTTAATTTAAATCTGCTTGAGGAGTTCTGTCTAGTTCTGTCTCAGAAAGTTGGACCTCAACCAACCAACCGCTTGCGATGGACACCAACGACCCCAGCAGAAAAGTATTGTGGATGCCAGAGGGACGTCCCCGGTTGGCTGGGCGGTCCTCCCTTACTTCAGTCCAGACTGAGCAGACCTCACTCAGGCTCCCCACGGTTCCACGCCGGACTCACCTGGTCCTGCAGAGTTCTGGTCAATGTTCTGGTAGTCCAGCAGACAGACGAGGACGTAGAGACAGATGGGTGGCAGGGAGACAGCAGTGTAAACACAGAGACAGGGCGACAAAGACAGATGAGTTAAAAGACAACTCATCCGTCCCAGAGACAAGCAGACTGCTCCTTCCTCACCTCCTTCTGCTCCTCTTCCTCCTCTCCGTCTCCATGCAGCAGGCAGGACGGCTGGCAGGCTGGGAGAGGTTTTCTTCTTCTCCTCCGCTCAGTCAATGCATCGTCTGGTGTGTCACAGGAGTGGAGGAGGAGGAGGGGGAAGGCAGGGATACAGCAGACAGCCGAGGAGGAAGAGGAGGAGGAGGAGGAGTCATCTGAGGACAAGCAGGGAGCTAATGCGGCTAACTGCCCTGCAGAGGCTGAGAGACATCGCAGCTCGCCGCTGCAGAGACCCAAACACTGCAAGGTTGACAATCAACCGGAAACACACTCCAAACACACACACACACACAACACATGTTGTCTCACAGAGATCAGTGCACGTGTGTGCGGTGTCAGTGTGTGTGTGGGTGTGTGAGAGTGTGGCATGACTTGGCCAAATGCACAGCGCTGCATTGCAGTGCCGAGGCTGAGTTGGCATGCTGAGTACATAGCGTGCATACTGCGCCTGTGTGCCAGCCACACACACTGAACACACACACACACACACACTGAACACACACACCTGTTTCTAACATGAGACATCCTGTCTGAGGGTCTGAATCTAAACGTCTCAGTAGCATCAAGGAGATGGATGGTAGAGGCTTAATGAGGACGCTTACTGTAGGTATGTGTGTGTTGCTCTATAACTTCCTGCTGACGACACTGTTTCACATTGAGGACGTTTCAGTTTCGGGAGGAAAAGCCTATGAACCAGAATTGGATCAGAGGTCCAGATCAACCCAAACGATCCCCAGAAAGACACTTAAACTGTGACTCCCCCCAGAACCTGAACCGGTCTAGTTCTGGGTTCTGGACCAGCTGGGATGTGCTGGTCCAGAACCCAGAACTGGACCGGTTCAGGTTCTGGGGGGAGTCACACGGTGCGGTTCTGATGGAACAGAATAATCTGTTGCACCACCAGATTGTGGTTCAGCTCTGGTGGAAGCATCTGGACCGGCTGCAGTGTTCCTGAGGACAGGTCGCTGTCAGGAGGTTCTGGTTCTCACCCAAAGTCAGGGGGAAGCTGTTTCCAGCTGCATGGTCCCCACCGGGTCAGGATGGGCCCCACTGGGGCCAGAGGGCTCTGCTTTGACCAATCTGACCAGATCCTTGATCTACAGTTCAGAGGATAAGAGAGAATCCAGAAGATTAAGCAGAGAGGGAGGAAGGAGAGACAGAAACATGGATTAACATGAATCCAACATGGCTGCCTTCATCCAGAGCAGGAAGAGAAAAAAATTATTTAAAACACATCAACCCAACATGTAACAAACTGATGAAATAATGTATTTCAGTCAGAAATTAACCAGAAAGCAAAAATCTCCTCATTATGTTAACCAAAAGTGGGACTGGATTAAAATGTTTATCGCATTTTATCAACAAAATCAACATTTTCAATTCCAAGCCCCTCTTTGCTGCTAAATTACTGAATAACCAGCCATAATCAGAGACATTCGTAGTTTTTAAGCTGTTCTTCAGGAACGGATAGAAGTGTTTAGCTGCTACATGTCTGGCATTGAGATGCTATTTTAGGTTAGCAAAGTTTCACTGATAGCATAACTCCTTTTTGCACAACTTGAACACAATAGTATTTTACAATTGGATTGCTTAGAAGCAGAAATTTACCGAGAAAAGCCGCTTCATTGCTGCTGTTAGCGGATGTAGCTGTGCGTCAGATTAACAGTCTTACTAGAAACACGAGAGAACAAAGGTTCCGCTCAGAACTTAGTGGAAAAAAAGAGCACTTAGCTTATGTTAAAAATGTAATGTATTAAAATGTATGTAACTAACAAAAATTTTAATACTGATCTCATTAAAATAAAAGTTTGGGTAACACTTTATTTGAAGGGGTGTGCATAAGACTGACATGACACTGTCATAAACATAACACCTGACATGAACATGAAGAAGTCTTTATGAATGTTTCTGACTGTTGTCATGAAGTGTCATTCGGTAAATAATGACACTTTTAATGCAAAGTTGCTCTAAAAGTTGCATTGAAAGTCCATTAAAAAAAATGCCAACTTTGCATTAAATTATAATTTACAAAATCATGCCAAAGTTTGTTCATGGCAACGCCATTATTAGGGTGTCAGTAACCCGAACCCCTAGTACTTAGATTGAAAATAACTATTATTTTAACTGAATGCACAGTAATAAGGCATGTTTTACGGAGTATTTAGTCCATGACAGATGATCAGCAAAAGGAAAGGAAGCCAGAGAAATTTCAGTCCAACAGCAGCCATGATGGATCAACGTGAAGGTCCATGGGGAGTTTAGGTCTGATCAAACAGCACATTTCTCATTTTATCTCCAAGCTCTGGCAGTTAAACAGTTCCATACAATAAATAAATAAAAGTGTTGAACTTTGACCCAAGGCAACTTTACATTGACTCTGTTCTGAGGTTTAAACATGACTCAGAGCTGCAGCAACAAGATTTATTCACACATTAACAAAGATTACAAATAATCAGAAAAACACAATCTGACTGAAACAGATTCACAGCAAGAAACACCAGAGGGAGTCACTGAGAAACATCAATGAGTAAAACACTGCAGAAACACCTGACCGACTCAAACACGCCACCTAGATGAGAGCAGGTCAGAAATAAACCTCAGTTGAACATCAAACATCAACCGGGAGTCTATTAATGTTAACAGTTTGTGAGAGCTTCATGTTTGACCACCAGAGGGCGTCAGAACAGAGCAGATGGAAGCAGCTTCATCACCTGACACACATATTCTGGTTTTCCTGCTGTGATCGGACCCCGACTCAGATCCAGTCTTAACTGGACCAGATCGAAACCACGCTTCAATCCAGTCCTGGTTCTACAAACCGAGCTCTTCATGGAGGTCCAACTCCTCAGTCTTCACCGGTTCCACTGGTCCCCATCCAAAGACTGGAGTTTGAGTTCATCAGCAGGTCCAACATTTGTCACAAAGAGAACTCAAACTCCAGTCTGGTTCAGATTCAGATACTGGTTTCTCATCGCGCCCACTGGTCCAGGAAAAAAACCCGGTTCAGAACCCAGTTCATGGCCCGGTTCTGAGTCCGGTTCATGGCCCAGTTCAGGGTCAAAACTTTTCACACTGTAAAATAAATACAAACAGAAATAGGTAGAGCATCTTAAATCACTGTCTAGTGCCGATATGACCTGGTCCAGCTGACCCGGTTCTGATAAAAAACGCTGACCAGTTCAATGGATCTGTTCTGTCGGAGATGCTTCCTTTCAGAACCGCACAGGAAAGTCAACCAGGGACAGGAAGCAGCGGTTCTGACCCAGTCAGAGTCCTGGTTCGGACCAGCTGCAGGTCAGACGTGGAGCCGGGCGTGGCGCAGCTTACACCTCCTGGACCGGACTTTGAAGAAGAAGAAGAGCAGCATGAGGAAGAGGCAGGAGCTGCCATATAAAACCACGCAGAGGCTCATGTCCACGCTGGTGAAGCCCAGGCCCAGAATCCAGAACCCGCCCTCTCCTTGGATCAGAACTGCCTGCTCCCCCCGCCTCGGACCCGGCTGGATGGGTCGGAGCTCCACCTGATCCTCTCCCTTCCTCCTCTCCCCTCCAGCAGCCGGGCGTTCCTCCTGAGGCCGTCTGGTCTGAGCCGGACCGGCACCGGCATGGAGGCGTGGGGAGGTCAGGGAGTACCTGGGGTTCAGGTTGGACGCGCCGTAGTGGCGGCGAAGGAAGGCGAGGACGTTGGCGTGGTTCCAGACGTGGACGCCGTTGCTCTCCTCGTGGCAGGCGGGGCAGAGGGCGGGGCTTGGCCACGGCGCTTTGGGGGAGACCGGGTCGTCACTCAGAGACCCTGGAGGGGAGGAAGAGGAGGGTGAGATGAAGGAGGAACAAAGACGGAAACAACATGAAACCCTAGAACCCAGAAAACAAGATAGCCGCCTGAAAAGCTTCCTTCACTGAGTGGAGCCAGAATCAAGATGGCGGCTTCCAAAACCACTTCATCTGTTTTTTGTTAAACTGTTCAGTCAGCAGGAAGGAGGTCATGGGATTCTCTCTGAGGTAAAACCATCAGCGCCTCCAGAACTCATCCTCACTTCCTGGACCACAACTCTTCAGGGCTGCTGGTGGAGTCCAGCCAGGTTCTGGGCTCGGCCCGATCCGCTTTACTGAGTTTCTGCTGATGATACTCAGATTTATCTATAATCCAGGTTAATCCAGCCTGTTAGTAGACTACAGACATTAAAACCTGGATGGCTCCAAAATTCTTGCTTTAAATTCTGACCTGACTGTTTCTGGACCAGAACCTCTGAACAGAACCTGATAATTGGATCACTGATCTGATGAAGCAAAGAAGCTCTGAGTTATTCTCTCTGTAAAACAAGTGTTTCAGCCACTGAGCTGACTGAAACGAGGTGATTCAGTCAGCTCAGTGGCCCCTGCATGTCCCTGGCCCCGCCCCTCCCTGGCCCACCTGCCAGCCTGGTGTTGACCCGGTTGTGCTGGTTCCACAGCCACAGGACTTCGTCCTCTCGGCTCGTCACCTGGTCCATGCTGGCGGCCGCCGCCTGCTCAAAGTGACGGCCGCACTCTTTACATCCGAAGAACGTCCGGATGTAGCGGCGCATCACCTGCAGCACCGGTGCCGCCTCGCCCTCCAGACCTGCGTGGTGTTCACACACACAGTAAGGACACACACCTGGGCTGCGACCTCGGGGTCTCTGCCTGTCGTACCTGAGCCGTCCAGCGCGGCGGGCGCTGCATCGTGCTGGACCGTCAGGACGTGGAACAGCGTCCACAGCGAACACGGGTAGCCCCGCAGCCCCAGCCTGCTGCCCTGGCAGCCAACCCAGCGAAGCTCCGCTCCCAGGAACACGCCAGAGATCTGCACAGAAAACAGGAAGTCACCTCTCTGCCTGTGTTCTTGTATATATGCATAATGAGACCCAGAAGCACTAGTTCAACCCACATGTCGGGTCCTGGTGAAAAGTGAGAACCTTCTGCTGCCCCCTACTGGTTAGGTGTACAGGTAAGGAGAGTGATGCAGTCTGTTAGCATGGTTAGCATTAGCCTAGCGATTTGCCCCGATAAGAACACGGGACGTTAGGCGAGACTCTGGCCCGGCGCTTAATGGGACTTAATGGGATTCCCATGGTGGTGCTCCAGCCTTATGTTGTGACCGCTGTGATTAGCCAGCGGCCATGTTGTAGCCCAAATGAATAACTATGGGAAAAAGGAAACAATCCTTATTTCTGACATCTGACCACTGACTCTGGGTCTCCAGATGTCCGCACTTCCTCGTTTTAACATAACAGGAAGGTGCCATCGACAACTTCCTGTCACGTTGACCTTGTCAAAGGTTCTGACAGGGTCAGGGCTTAAAACGGGGCTTCGGCATTCTCTGTTTGTTGGAAGTCCTGGTGTGTGTGTGTGTGTGTGTGGGTGTGTGTGTGAGATTCACCTTCATCTTGTTGTCCACCAGGTCCAGGACGGCCTGGTAGGGGATCTGCTGCAGCGGCAGACCGAGCAGCCAATCAGAGAGCGTCTCCATGAGCTTCACCACGGAGCCTCCAACTGGATAGAGCTACGGGAGGAAACAGTCAGCAGGGGTCGACAACCAAAGAATATCCGACCGTATTCAAGATTCTGCAGAATCTTGAAATAATGAGACAATCAACTGTGAGCGGAGGAAGGGGGACAGGGATGGACCAGTAGATTGTATTTGTTTTAATTTGCCTTAATTTACTTAGACTGTCATATTTGGTTATAGTTGGGGGTAAGTAACTTATAAGAAAAAGTTTTTTCTTATAAGTTGACGCTTTTTTTTTGAGTCTGAAGACGAAAAAAAAACAACCATTTATTAAACATTTAACCCATTAACAGAACCGATTTAATCCATTAAATCGGTTCTGATTATCTTAGCACCAATGGTGGGAATCAATAGCAGAAAAACTTGCTGCATTAATGCTAAAGCACTAATCTAAATGAGGTTCTGCTTTCAGCCGTTACCTTGGCAACCAGAGTGACAAAGTCCTTGAAGACCTTTAGCTCCGCCCCCTCCAGCGTGCCGTGGGCAGCCAGCTCCACCCGCAACAGGTAGTGCAGCGCCGACTCCAGGTCGGCCGTGTACACCTGGGACCTGCGGCGACACGTAGCATTCAGCCGGTCCCGGCGGGGCGTCAGGTCGCAACCGCAGACCGGACCCTCACCTGTCAAAGTCCCGCCACGGCCCCGAAGTCCCTCCGTCCTGCAGCGCCCCCATCTGGGCCACCTCAGAACTGCTGCGGCGCTGCACGCCTGGGAGGCTCCGTAGCAGGGAGGAGAAGAAGAACCGGAGCGGCTTCTCGCTGCAGGACGAAGAGGTCAGGAGGTCAGGGGTCAGAGCTAGGTTCAACACCCATAATTCAAACGTTTCTCTGTGTAAGCTAATAAACACGTCACATCACTAAGGCAGGATGACCTGCTGGCCTAAAGCATCAGAGATTTAAAGAAACTTTGATCTGTTAGATGGAAAAACTTTACAGGTTAACTGGATTGAAACCTCAGCTAGAGGTCACACTAGAGGTCACACATGCTGGAGGTCATGCTAGAGGTCACGCTGGAGGTCACGCTAGATGTCACGCTGGAGGTCACGCTGGAGGTCACGCTAGAGGTCACGCTAGAGGTCAAACTGGAGGTCATGCTAGATGTCA